GGTATACAGTATACTAACTTCACTAATGTTACATACAAACCATACTTAAGAGTTCCCACTTATGTAAAAATTCCATTTTTGGAGATAGGAATGGAGTTGTGACTTACATAAATAACATAAGGAGTTAGGTATGGAACTCACTTGCAATCAAGGGATTGCCTGTACCACCCTAAACAATTTAATAAATAAAAAAAAGGAGAAGAGAGAGCTTTTTCTTGCAGAAGAATCCCAATTAGTAAACAGAAGAAATGCTTGGAATCCAAAATACCATATGGTAAACACCACAGTAATGGCAATCATATACAACAATTATTAATGGATACTCAAGTTCGTTGGCAAAATACGGTGAAAAACAGAATATATGCATATTCTTAAAGAATCACCATAAAAAAGTACAATAATAAAATTTCAAATATAAAATAATGGAAGTTAATGTGATAAATAGGGAAACAAAGCACTCGTAAACCAAACACAAGATGAGTGTGTTTAATTGCATGCAAAGTATCAATAAAAAAATTAAAAGTTATAATATCGCATTTGCTCAAGGCTAGGCCCTGTAGCTTTATTTGTAATAGCCAAAGACTTTTAAGGTAAACTTTAAAGTGAAAAGGAGGAACCACTGATTAGAACAGCCCTGTCATTATGATAACACTGTCATGTACCCAAAGGTACCATGTCATTCTAGTGACTCCTTCTGAGTAAGTATTCCTTTCCTATTCACTGAGGAAGTTTGTTCTTTAATCATAAACCCTCTCTCTGCCAGAGAGTCCACTCCGACTCACAGCAACCTCCACGAGGGTTCCAAAGCTATACATCTTTACAGAAGTAGATTGCCTCATCTTCCACCAGAGGAACATCTGGTGGATTTGAACCATAGACCTTCTGGTTGGCAACCAAATGCTTTACCCACTACATCATGAGAGCTCCTTTCTTTAATCACAGATGTTCAGAAATTTGATTTTTGTAATTATAGCTGTAAAATTAAAACATCCCATTTGAAATAGTATTTCAACTGAGAGTTCTTATACGTGAAGTGAGGTGTGAGGGAGGAATAAAGGCATTCCCACATTGACATTCATAAGGCCTCTGAACTGTCAGTTGTTCTATGTGTGACGAGGCTTCAGGGTTTCCTAAAGACATTCCCACAATCCTTACATTGATAAGACCTCTGCCCATTGTGAGTTCTATGTGTACTGAAGGCTAAGGCCTGAGTAAAAGCTTCCCATATTTCTTATGTTCATGATGCCTTTTCCAGCGTGAGTCCTTCATATGTTCAGTGAGATGGAAAAACACCTAATGATGTTCCCACACTTCTTACATTCATAAGGCCTCTCGCCACTGGGAATTCTAATATATTGAGTGAGAGCTAAGTAACTATTACAGGTTCTTCCATATTCCTTACATTCCTAAGGTCTGTCTTCACTCTGATTTCTCACATGTTGAGTGAGGGATGTGGCCTGCCTGGGAAAACACTCTCCTACAGAACTTACATTCATAAGCTCTCTCTCCACCATGAATTCTTACATGTCTGTTGAGGTGTGAAATCCTACTAAAGGCTTTCCCACATTCCTTTTAGTTTGTTCTTTTTTTTTTTTTTTCCTAAATAGTGATTTGGGTGAAAGTTGACAGAGCAAATTCATTTTCCATAAAGCAATTCATACACATTTTATCTCATGACACTGACTGCAATTTCCCACAATGCAACAGCTCCCCTCCCACTTCCTCCCCAGAGTTACCTCTTCCCTGTCCTTTCCTCCTATACATTCCTGCTGTCTCCCTGTGCAAACACTGCCCTTCTGTTCTCCCATAACTGATCTCTCCAAAGAGTGTATCCACCTGATGTAAATTTTCAGCCCATATGCCTGTCTTTTATTTGGCTGGAAGCCACAGCAATAAGTTCAATTCCACACCTGAAGGGCAGCTAGGAGCTATAGTCTCAGGGGTCTCACCAGCAAAGCTGTCCTTTTTTCTTTTTTCTTTTTTTTTTTTATGATTTTGAGTTTTGTTCAACATTGTTCTCCCACCTTTCCCACATTCCTTATATTCATGAGGACTTGCTGCAAGGTAAGTTCTAGTATGTTCAGTTAGATGTGAGGAACGATACTTTCCCATATTGGCATAGCGCCTAAGGCATCTGACTGCTAACCAGAAGCCTTGCAGTTCAAACCCCCCTGCCACTCCTCAGAAAGAAGACTGGGAAATCTACTTCCATAGTGATACTGCCTCGGAAACCCAAGAAGGGGTTGCTATTAATCAAACTGACCCGACGGCAGTGTATTTGGTTTTTTATATTGATAAGGCCTCAATCTACGATGATTCCTTACATTTAGTGATGACTGAGCAACACCTGAAGGCCTTCCCACATTCCTTATATTCAAAAGGCCTCTCTCCACTGTAAATGTTTCTATGTTGAGTGAGGACTGAAGAACTGCTAAAGGTTTTCCCACATTCCTTACATTCAGAAAGCCTGTCTCCGCTATGAATTCTTACATGTTCAGTGAGGTATGAGGCCCAAGAAAAGGCTTTCCCACGTAACTTGACATTCATAAGGCCTCTCTCCACTGTGAGTTTTTACATGTCTAGTGAGGTGTGAAGAGTAATGAAAAGCTTTCCCACATTCCTTACATTCATAAGGTCTCTCTCCACTGTGAATTCTTCTATGTGAAGTGAGGTCTGAGGAATCTCTAAAGCCTTTCCCACACTCCTTACATTCGTAAGGCCTCTCTCCACTGTGAGTTCTTACATGTCTAGTGAGGTGTGAAGAGTAATTAAACGTTTTCCCACATTCCTTACATTCATAAGGCCTCTCTCCACTGTGAGTTCTTATATGTCTGGTGAGCTCTGAAGAGTAACTAAAAGCTTTCCTACATTCCTTACATTCATAAGGCCTCTCTCCACCATGAATTCTCCTATGGGAAGTGAGATCTGAGGATTCTTTAAAGCCTTTCCCACACTCCTTACATTTGTAAGGCCTCTCTCCGGTGTGAGTTCTTATATGTCTAGTGAGCTGTGAAGGGAAACTAAAAGCTTTCCCACATTCCTTACATTCATAAGGCATCTCTCCACTGTGAATTCTTCTATGGGAAGTGAGGTCTGAGGAATCTCTAAAGCCTTTCCCACACTCCTTACATTCATAAGGCCTCTCTCCACTGTGAATTCTTATATGTCTGGTGAGGTCTGAGGAATCTCTAAAGCCTTTCCCACATTCCTTGCATACATAAGGAGTCTCTCCAGTGTGAGTTCTTACATGTCTAGTGAGGTGTGTAGGGAAATTAAAAGCTTTCCCACACTCTTTACATTCATAAGGCCTTTCTCCACTGTGAGTTCTTACATGTCGACTGAGGTCTAAGGAATCTCTAAAGCCTTTCCCACACTCCTTACATTTATAAGGCCTCTCTCCGCTGTGAGTTCTTACATGCCTAGTGAGATGTGAAGAGCGATTAAAACCTTTCCCACATTCCTTACATTCATAAGGCCTCTCTCCAAGATGAATTCTTACATGATTAGTGAGGGATGAGGAATACTTGAAGGCTTTCCCACACTCCTTACATTCATAGGGCTTCTCCCCACTGTGAGTTCTTACATGTTTAGTGAGGCATGACGACTGACTAAATGCTATTCCACATTCCTTACATTCATAAGCCTTATCTCTGTTATGTAATTTTTCATGTAAAATGAGGGTTGAAGAATGAGTACAGATTTTACATTCTTTACATTCAATTTCATGACCTCTCACATGCATCCAAAAGGATGAGAAACTACAGAAATCTTTCCCACATTTGGTACATTCATAGCTTTTCTCACCAGTTAGTGTTGTCACAGGATCCTTAAGGGTTGAGGTACAAAGGAAGTCCTTCCCACACACCTTACATTTATGGGGGTTCTGTCCATTAAGAGTTCTCACAGGAGTGGTTAGGCGAGAAGGACAACTGCAGGCTTGTGCACTTTCGTTACACTGGCCGGTACTGCATTGAGTGTGTGCTCTGGTATGACGCTTATGTGATGAGTGACCCAGGAAGGCCTTTCCACACTCACGGCATTCAAAAGGACGTACTTCTGGAGGGTTTCTCTGTACAACAGTAAGGTCTAGAATCTGACTGAAGGTTTTCCCACACTGATTGTCTTCATTAGTTTCACAAAGGTTCTCTACTTTGGGACTTCTGTTAAAAACAGAAAACGTGATGTTGGAAATAAATCTGTCCTCATTTCATCATTACCAAACACAGTGACTCTGCATGGTCTTTCTTTGCTGTGACTTGTCCCATGTTTCATACGTTAATTTATCTAACAGAAATACTGCTATTACTCTCACATTTTTTCTAAAATGCAAGGCTTTCTGATAATTGTGTCCAAGTAAAATATGTTTAATATACTTGACATGTCTCACGTTTATGAACCAGATGGCTGGCGGTTCAAACCCACCAGCCACTCCTCGGAAGGAAGGTTGGGCAATCCTACTTCCGTAGTGATACTGCCTCAGAAACCCAAGGAGGGGTCGCTATGAGTCGGGTTTGACTCGACGGCACACAACAACAACAACAACAACATTTATGAAAGGTTGCACTGTGAAAATTCTCTGAACATGTAATTTTATAGTTAGTTGTGTATATATAATTATACAAAAAAACTAAACCAAATTCATGGCCATTGAGTCAATCCTGACTCAGTGACCTCAATTGGGTTTCCTAAGCAGTAAATCTTTAAGAAAGTAGATTGATCCATCTTCCTTTCATGGAGGGGCTGGTGGGTTTAAACTGTTGACCTTCTGATTAGCAGTCAAATGCCTTAGGCACTGCGCCACCAACTTCCTTTATACAAACGCAGACATATATACTTACATACATCTGCATACATCAAGGCTTCAAACAGTTTGACAGGGTTCAGCAAGTACAAAACTAAAGGAGGGCAGGGTACTCATTGCCTAGTAATCAAATGTGTTGCTGGTCAGATTTTGACCTGAGTAGGAAACAAACAGCAGTGACCTGCTCCAAGATGGCAGCCAAGTGCACTGTGTTGAATGTGTACCACTCTCCACAGTCCTGCCATTAATCCAATCTCCCCACATCAGGCTCCTGAAACTTTCAAGGTCCATGTGGGAGTCAGGTAATTTTAAGCACTGTGGACATGGACACACATTCAAAGCAGTGCACTTGGCTGCATACTCAACCCAGGCATTACAAACCATTTCTCACTCGAGTCAAAACTGGACAGGTGACAGATCTGGAGGCCAGGCAATGCATATGCTGCCCTTGTTTATGTTGGGAATTGCTCAACAGTTTTCATAGTGGTGCGAATTGTAGTTATATACGTACAAATACATCCCTGTGTATTTTAACATCATGATACCCTAGGACTTTATCCAGACTCACTGTTTGAATGACACTCACCTCACATGTCGTCCATGGTTTCTGTGCTGATCTTTATTGCCATGTGACTCGGGCAAGGCATTATTCTTCCTTATGAATTGCACCAGTATATGATCACTGGATAACTTTTCTGAATCATTAAGCTTTCCAGAGACTGATCAAGTAATTCAAGTTGAAGTTCACAACATAAAACAAAAAAGAAAGGAATTATTAGGGGAGAAAAGGCTACTATAAAGAAAGCAAGACTTAGCCATATTTCAGCCCTTTGGCAATGGTTAAAAAGCAATTTAGTAGGTGACACTTCCATGAGGATTGAGAGTATGGTAACATAAATAAGAGTAATTAGAAAAGCGAAATAGGAAGAAATTGGACACATACACATGTACATTAAGATAGGAAAAGGATCTCCATGACGAAAGGCAGGAGAAGATAGCGAAAGTCAGGAAAGTAGGTTCAGGTATCTATGAATGTCAACTCAGCCCAAAACAGACTATGTCTAGCTGACCGATGCAAATTTAATGCCTTCACCCAGATCTGGTCCCAAACAAAATTCCGGTGCTTTCCGACTCAAGGACCCTCAATGACTTCTATCTCGACTGTTCTCAGATTTTTCCCTGGTTCTCTTGGAAAACAAATGGGTAGTGCGGACTTGGGGCTCATGGAGAAATGCGTATCATGAGGGAAGACAGTGAATACCTATGAACCTTCCCCTGTCACTGAGCTAACAGTGTGCCCTTCAGGCTCTCTGAAGTCGGACAGGTGTGAGCTTCTTTGCCGCACAGTAATCATGCCAAACTTGTAATCAACACAGTGAGAATCTCTGTAAGGTCTCAAATCACAAATTTCTCAGTTCCCCAAAGTGACTGCAGAAGCCAAGACTTACACTTAACAAGCCACACAACTTTCAATCACAAAAATGAAAGGTCATTTTCATAGAGTTTTATGTTCATGGGAAAGACAAGATATATCCACTCAAGTTCCCCAAAGTGACTGCAGAAGCCAAGACTTACACTTAACAAGCCATACAACTTTCAATCACAAAAATGAAAGGTCATTTTCATAGAGTTTTATGTTCATGGGAAAGACAAGATATATCCACTCAACAGACCTACAAATCATAGCCATCTTACTTAACACTTTCTTCCCATTTTTCAGCCCAAATACTGGAGCAAAGTCAGTAAGTAAAATATTTTTGATCACTAAAGGAATAAAAAAGAAAAACGATGCCACTCTTACCGACTGAGTCCAGGTTGCTCAAGGTTTCCAGCATCACGTCTCTGTAGAGTTTCCTCTGAGCAGGATCCAGCAGAGCCCACTCTTCCTGGGTGAAGACCACGGACACATCCTCCATCACCACTGAGTCCTACAACATTCCACACACTTGGGATCAGCAAGGGACCATGGACTCCAGCATAGAGTGTAAGAACAAGGACTGAGGCTGATAGTCCAGGCGAAGTGAGAACTCAGAGGCGTTGGTCAAACCGTTCTGTACTCGACCAACGGTGACTGTGAAGCACAGCCATCAGGTCCAATCTATTCACTGAGTACATTCACTCCCTCACCGACTGTCCTGTCTTACAGAGCTCCAGCACACGCTCTGACCATGACCAACCGCAGACTTATTCCTCTATCATTACAGCTAGGACAGTTAGAAAATAAAGAAGGACTTAGAGAAATGCTCTCGTTCAGACCATTGCTTCCTCGTAAACAATTTCGCCTCCTTCCAAGATGGTCAGAAGAATAGAACACTCAACAAAACAGAAAGCACAGGGTGAAGGCAGACTGGGGTATTAACAAGTGGGACATACTGCAGGATGACTGTTTTCCCTTTGGCTCCTCACAGACATGGGAGGACCGAGGGCCCACACAGACAAAGTGACAACCCAAGGCCCTGAGCTAGTCATGATTTCGTGAATTCTAGGAGATGGGGGTGGGGAACGACAGGGAGCTTAAAGGACACACAGGTAACATCATCTAACTTTCTCTAACTTCACAAGAAGAAGACACAACCACCATCAGCAGCCCAAGGCTTATTCACGAAGCCAGACATGCTGCCACCCTCCAGACTTTTTACCAATTCTGACACTGACCGTTCCTCCCACGGCACTCACTATTTCTCTGCTGGGTTCGATAATTTGCTACAATGGCCACACAGAACACACAGACAGTACTCATAATGATGGGGTTTATTAGGGAAGTAACAGGCTACCATTCAGGATCAGGAATGCGCTCAGGATAGAATCCTTCCATCAGGATGGTCTCCTCTCTGCTGTGCCCTCAGGGTTGGCTCTCTGGCCCATGGCCTCTCAGCCTGGCCCCTGTCCTGCTCAGGCAAATGTTACAAAGATGTTTTAGCTCTGCTGATAGGTACACCTAGGTGCACCCCACTCCGCCAGCAAGCCTCCTGCCCAAGGGCACTTAGCTACCTCGCTGTGGGCCAGGTAAGCCCACAGCTCTGTTTCATGCCTCTTGGTTCCACTGCAACCATCTCTCTGTCAGGTGTCTCTCTCTGCCGGGATGTGTCTTTCTACTGAGGCATCTCTCTCTACCAAGGAGGTCCAGTGCAGGGATCTCAGGTCCAAGAACACACTCTATTTCATTTCTACATCTTCTCTCTTGATGGCAGTGAGATCCCCCATCTGTCTCTAGGAGGGCTCATTTTAAGCCTGGCAGAATGACAAAACTAACCAATCCCAATGTCAGAGTTCTACACACCCACCTTACTGGCATGGTCCCACCCAGCAATCTGGTGGGAGGTAAAAAGACTAAGGCTAGAGAAGCCCTACCAAGTAACTCACTGCACCACACAAGGGCTGATAAAGGAATATTCTTTTTGGAGAATTATGAATTTTTACATGTCTTCTAATTTTGAAGTACTCAGTTCTGTCATCCTCTCTGTTCCCTTCACAGCTAGAAGCAAAGGTGACAAAAGATAACAAGAGGTAAGGTGAGACTGGAGACATGAAGTGAGTATCTCTCCACAACTCTAAACTTTTGAGACTGGAACTGTACGCCAATTAGTGACTGCTCCCCTGAACGAATATAAACTCACCCACGCTCACACAAACACAGTCTCGTGTTATAAAATGACAAAGACCATGAGCTCTGCCGGAGCAAGAACAGCAATCCTTGTGTTTGCTGAGTGAGAAGAGGTTACAATTCCCATTTCATAACTATATGTAATAAATTTAACCAATGTGACCAAGGTATACATGTAAAAATTGATGTACTGGGCTTGGAGGCGGATCTGTGTAGGAGATGTTGGATAGAGTGGGAGAACAATGTGGAACAAAAATCATTAAAAAAAAAAAAAAAAAGATCAGGTTTGCTGGTCTGAAAAGAGCCTGATGGAACCCCTTAGACTACGGCCCCTGGTTACCCTTCAGGTCTTGCAAAAACGGCAAGGAGGCCCCATGTTCTGACCTCCTCTAACCCCACAAGAGGAAGACAGGATTACCAGCAGTAACCCAAGGCCTATTCCTGCCAGGCCAGACATGCTGCCTCCCTCCAGCCCTTTCACCA